AACTAATTTAAAAAATAAATAAGTAAACAAAAACATGTAAATGCATAAAAAACAAATGGTGATATAACTGATAATATAAATAAGTAAAAAGCAATAAATCCCAAATGTTCTTGTGCAAACAGTGCTTAATAATTCATAATACCCCTATACATTTCATATATACTGTAAAAATGCAGATAAACACATACAGTTGCAAGAAAACGTATGTGAACCCCTTGGGATTACGTGGAGTTTTGCATGAATTGGGCATAAAATGTGCTCTGAACGTCATCTAAGTCACAACAATAGAAGAACACAGTCTGCTGAACATAATACTACACAAACATTAGATGTTGCCATGGTTTAATTGCACATAACATGTAAACATTCACAGTGCAGGGAGGAAAAAGTATGTGAACCTTTGGACTTAATAACTGGTTGACCCTCCTTTGGCAGCAATAACCTCAACCAAACGTTTCCTGTAGTTGCAGATCAGACCTGCACAATGATCTGGAGTAATTTTGGACCACTCCTCTTCACAAAACTGTTTCAGTGTAGCAATATTCTTGGGATGTCTGCTGTGAATCGCTCTCTTAAGGTCATGCCACAGCATTTCAATCGGGTTGAGGTCAGGACTCTGACTGGGCCACTCCAGAAGGCGTATTCTGTGCTGTTTCAGCCATTGTTTTGCTGAATTACTTGTATGCTTTGGGTCATTGTCCTGTTGCATCACCATCCTCTGCGGAGCTTCAGTTGGCGGACAGATGGTCGTACGTTTTCCTGCAAAATGTCTTGATAAACTCTGGAATTCATTTTCCCATCAATGACAACAATCCGTCCAGGCCCTGAGGCAGCAAAGCAGCCCCAAACCATGATGCTCCCTCCGCCATGTTTTATAGTGGGGATGAGGTTTTGATGTTGGTGTGCTGTGCCTTTTTTTCTCCACACATAGTGTTGTGTGTTCTTCCCAAACAACTCAATCTTGGTTTCATCTGTCCACAGTATATTTTGCCAGTAGTGCTGTGGAACATCCAGGTGCTCTTTTGCAAACTTCAAACGTGCTGCAATATTCTTTTTGGACAGCAATGGCTTCCTTCGTGGTGTCCTCCCATGTACTCCATTCTTGTTTAATGTTTTCCTTATTGTAGATGTGTCAACAAAAATGTTAGCATGTGCCAGAGATTTCTGTAGGTCTTTAGCTGACACTCTGGGATTCTTCTTTACCTCATGCAGCATTCTGCGCTGTGCTCTTGCAGTCATTTTTACAGGACGACCATGCCTAGGGAGAGTAGCAACAGTGCTAAACTTTCTCCATTTGTAGACAGTCTGTCTTACCGTGGACACATGAACATCAAGGCTTTTGGAGATACTTTTGTGACCCTTTCCAGCTTCATGCAAGTCAACAATTCTTGATCGTAGACCTTGAGAGCTCTTTTCTGCGAGGCATGGTTCACATCACACAGTGCTTCTTGAAACCAGTAAACCCAAAACAGGTGTGTGTTTTTTAAGGGCAGGACAGCTGTCAGCAACACATCCAATATCATCACACTGATTGGAGTCAAGGTTGGCTCACTCCTGGCTCCAATTAGCTCTGGGAAAAGTCATTAAGCTAGGGCCTCACATACTTTTTCCTCCCTGCACTGTGAATGTTTACATGTTATGTGCAATTAAACCATGGCAACATCTAATGTTTGTGTAGTATTATGTTCAGCAGACTGTGTTCTTCTATTGTTGTGACTTAGATGACGTTCAGAGCACATTTTATGCCCAATTCATGCAAAACTCCACATAATCCCAAGGGGTTCACATACTTTTTCTTGAAACTGTATACATTATACTAATGTAAACAGATGCAAAGTATAAATATCCAGTGCAAGATTTCTTTCCTCAAAGGGAATCGTGTAATGTGACATGCATATGTTATGGGTGCTCCATATAAACTTGCTGATGTGCTCCAGCACTGTGAACCATCACCTCCCAATGCTGCCGCTTACCGCAAGGTCTGACCCACACACACAGGTAAGGTTAAACACGCTTTCCCAACACTCTGGGTATAATAACTGCCAATATTCCTCCGATCAGCTTATAAATATCACTTTAAGACCTCAAGACTCCAACCAAATCAATGTAAAAAAATATAAAACAAAAGGATCTCATAGTGCAGTATCAGAGTAACCTATTATCCTTTTTTAATCTTTTATAATAAAGGATCATGAGTTACTCTGAAACTTCACTATGAATTCCTTTCGTTAAATATTTTTTACATATGTTCTTACCTACTTGAGTTGCACTGCACTTTTTGATATAGATTTCTATTGGTGTTTTGAACTCACAACAGTGAGGAGCTGCAACATAATACATTTTTTATTCTTTGCTAAACATTTGGGTCAGCACAGAGGTTTTTTTCTGTTTGGTCAATATTATACTAACCTGCTCTGTGCAAAATCACTGCCCACAGCCCCAATCCTCCTTTTCTGCAGAACCCTGGTGGTGATTCTAGCTCCTCTCCCCTACTAAGTGCATCATTAGCAAGCCGTTTGCTACAGGGACACTCATGCCGGCTCCTTCGCTCCTGAGCTGGCTCTTTGTGTCCGTAGACACACAGAGTGAAGATCAGCCCACCCCCGCACCCCCTCCTCATTGGCTGTGATTGACAGCAGCAGGATCCAATGACTCCCACTGTGGTCTCTGAGCCAATGAGGTGGGAAAGAGCAGAGAGACCCTCTGCTCTCTCATGCACAAAGCTGGTTTGAGATTAGGGAGATTAGGCTCAGGTAAGTACAGGGATGGCTGGGGGGGGGGGGGGGGGTGAGCTGCATGCAGACATTTTTTTTTGCCTTAATACATAGAATGCATTAAGGTAAAAAAACCTTCTGCCTTTAAGGAAACCTATTGACGCCATTGTTCTTTTTCATAGGAAAGTTTATCTTTCAGTTCTGGACATTGCAATGGCCTGACTGTCTGAGACTGTGCTAGTTGTATGGTATGGCAAGTAGGTCATTGTGTACAATGCCCTGGAACTAGCACCCCCTTAGACAATGACAGTCTTCAGCCTGTTCTGGCAGGTTCCAATTGAGTGGGATGCTATATTATTTCAACATTTTCAATAAAGTAAGATACAATAGCAAATAAATCCAAGAACACATATCTTTCTGCCACAGTCATATGACTCATTCTAGAATGTTTTACTTTGCACACTGCATGCATTAGCTGTCCACATGGTGGTAGCAAAGTGTTATTTTTATCATAAGTATCTCTAGTGTTATGTTACATATATACTTGTACATATGCCAGCATATTAGAGTTTGTTTCAATTTCAGGATTGCACACCCATTCTCTGCTTAGTTGACATGGGACCCCTAGGGGCATGCTTAAAAATCTGGCTCGTCAAAAAAATATGGTTTATAATTTCCCAGTAACAAGCAGGTTCTACAGTGTGCCCCATGACTGCTACTTCCATCCTTTTCAATTGTACTACCTATCATTGCCATAAGTAGCTTCATGTTCATGCTGAAGATTCTGGACTGACTGGATCAGTCACTGGTCATAGGTGGGTGGTTGTATGTGTGAGTAGGGAGATGTCCCTCCAGTCAGTTGTGCCCAATGGTGGATACTGGTGGTAAACCCTCTTAGGGTTTGGGCTGCTGCCGTTCAGGTACGGCCTTAAGGTCATTTCCACATGTACACTTGGAATAACAGGAAAGAAGGAGAGTCCGATGTCCTAAAGCAGTGGTCTCCAAACTGCAGCCCTTTGCTTGCTCTTATCCGGCCCTTGGGGCACTATTTCATCCACTGATACCAACAATGGGGCATAATTCCCCTCTACTGACACCAATGAAGGGGCACAATGCCTGCCAATGACACCAATGATGGTACACAATTCCTCCCATTGACAACAACGATGTGGCCCAATTTCTCTCAGTGACACTAACAATGGGGCCCAGTGACACCAATGATGAGGCACAATCCCTTCCATTGACACCAAAAATGGGGCATTGTTTTTTCCAACTGACATCAGGACCTTTTCTACTCCCAATGGCCACGGTCTGGCCCCCCTTAATTCCGATGGACAGTAAACTGACCCTCTGTTTAGAAAGTCTGGAGACCCCTGTCTTAAAGAATGCACTTTTGGTGGTAGATTAAAAGGCATTTATTGAGAATAACAACAAGTACATCAAACCAATGCATTTTGGGAGAGAAGACTCTCCCTTCTTCGGGGCTGTTGCTGCACGCTATTAAATGGGAAAGATTTCCATGCCGGTTTTTATATTTTCCAGTTTTTGGAGGAAAAACTGACAGAGTGACATTGTCTCATCGCTGCCCCTGGAATGACAGCGGTCACTTTGTCAATTTTTTTTCCAAAACCTGGAAAATATATAACCGGTATGGGAATCTTTCCCATTTAATAGCGTGTAGCAACAGTTCTGAAGAAGGGAGTTTTTCTCCTGAAAGGCATTGGTGTGTCGTTTTTTTTTTCAATAAATGCTTCTTACTCTACCACCAAAAGTGCATTGTTTTGGACATCAGGCGCTCCTTCTTTTCTATTATTTCAAAGCACAGTGGCTAAATGGTTAGCACTCCCGCCTGGCAGTACTAGGGTTGTTGGTTCAAATCCCAACCATGGCACCACCTGCCTGGAGTTTGCATGTTCTCCCTGTGCCTGTGTGGGTTTCCTCCCACACTCCAAAGACATGCTGGTAGGTTAATTGGCTCCTGTCTAAAATTGGCCCGTGTATGTATGAATGTGAGTTAGGGACCTTAGCTTTTACACCCCTTGAGGGTTAGGGACTGATGTGAATGTACAATATATTTGTAAAGCGCTGTGTAAATTGACGACTCTATATACAGTTGCAAAAAAAAGTATGTGAATGTCAGGAATGGACTGGCCAGCAATGGTGGGACTCACCTGCCTTTTGATCTGCAGTACCAGGGCTGGCCAGCGGGTGCTCCCAGCAATCAGAGACTCAACCTTTCAGCCAGCTAACACCTGGAACTGATGATACTGGTGTATTTAAGGGATGGCCAGATGCCTGGCCATCCGACCTGATGCCTGGTGACCCAGTGCCCGCTGTCATACCTGGTGACCCGAAGCCTGCTGTCGAGCCAGACAATCCGGTACCTGATGACCCGGTGCCCACTGTCGTGCCTGTTGACTCGGAGCCCACTGCCTTGCCAGATGACGCGGTGCCCGCTGTCGAGCCAAATGACCTGATGCCTGGTGACCCGATGCCCGCTGTCCAGCCAGACGATTCAATGTCTGCCCCAGTGCCCGCGGTCATGCCAGTTGACTCGGAACCCACTGCCTTGCCAGATGACGCGATGCCCGCTGTCCAGTCAGACGATCCAATGTCTGACCTAGTGCCAGCGGTCATGCCAGTTGACTCGGAGCCCACTGTCGTGCCTGGTGACTCGGTGCCCGCTGCTCCGCCTGGGGGCCCGAGACCTGTCGCTCCGCCTGGGGGTCCAGCGCCCGCCGCTCCACCTGGGGGTCCGGCACCCGCCGCCCCGCCTGGGGGCCCGAGACCTGTCGCTCCGCCTGAGGGCCCGAGACCTGTCGCACCGCCTGGGGGTCCGGCGCCCGCCGCTCCGCCTGAGGGCCCGAGACCTGTCGCTCCACCTGGGGGTCCGGCGCCCGCCGCTCCGCCTGAGGGCCCGAGAAAAGGGCCCGAGACCTGTCGCTCCACCTGGGGTCCGGCGCCCGCCGCTCCCGCCTGAGGGCCCGAGACCTGTCGCTCCACCTGGGGGTCCGGCGCCCGCCGCTCCGCCTGGGGGCCCGAGACCTGTCGCTCCGCCTGGGGGCCCGAGACCTAAATGCCGCTCCGCCTGAGGGCCCGAGACCTGTCGCTCCACCCGGGGTCTGGCGCCCGCCGCTCCGCCTGAGGGCCCGAGACCTGTAGTTCCGCCTGGGGGTCCGGCGCCCGCCGCTCCGCCTGGGGGCCCGATGCCTGACCCGATGCCTGTCGCCCCCGCCTGGGGGCCCGATGCCTGTCGCCCCGCCGCCTGGGGCCCCGATGCCTGTCGCTCCACCTGGGGGTCCGGCGCCCGCCGCTCCGCCTGAGGGCACGAGACCTGTCGCTCCACCCGGGGGTCCGGCGCCCGCCGCTCCGCCTGAGGGCCCGAGGCCTGTAGTTCCGCCTGGGGTCCGGCGCCCCGCCGCCCCGCCTGGGGGCCCGATGCCTGTCGCCGCCCCGCCTGGCCCCGATGCCTGTCGCCCCCCGCCTGGGGGCCCGAGGCCTGTCGCTCCATCTGGGGGTCCGGCACCCGCCGCTCCGCCTGAGGGCCGAGACCTGTAGTTCCGCCAACCTTGCCCGGGGGCCCGATGCCTGTCGCCCCGCCCGGGGGCCCGAGGCCTGTCGCCCCGCCCGGGGGCCCGAGGCCTGTCGCCCCGCCCGGGGGCCCGGTGCCTGCCGCTCCGCCCGGGGGCCCGGTGCCTGCCGCTCCGCCCGGTGGCCCGCTGCCTGCCGCTTCGCCTGGTAGCCCGTGTGTCTCTGGGGTCCTGCCCGATGAGTCCTGCCCGATGTGCCTCTGCCCGGAGTCCTGCCCGATGTGCCTCTGCCCGGAGTCCTGCCCGATGTGCCTCTGCCCGGTGTGCCTCTGCCTGGAGTCCAGCCCGATGTGCCTCTGCCCGGAGTCCAGCCCGATGTGCCTCTGCCCGGAGTCCAGCCCGATGTGCCTCTGCCCGGTGTGGCTCTGCCCGGTGTGCCTCTGCCCGGAGTCCAGCCCGATGTGCCTCTGCCCGGTGTACCGCTGCCCGGAGTCCTGCCCGGTGTGCCAGTCTTTGATATCCCGCCAGTTACCAGACCCGGGCGGTGGAACATTTTTCCCAGCTAGGACTGTTTGGAGCGTCCTGAGGCCGCTCCTTGAGGGGGGGTTGTCAGGAATGGACTGGCCAGCAATGGTGGGACTCACCTGCCTTTTGATCTGCAGTACCAGGGCCTGGCCAGCGGGTGCTCCCAGCAATCAGAGACTCAACCTTTCAGCCAGCTAACACCTGAACTGATGATACTGGTGTATTTAAAAGGGATGGCCAGACTTGCAGACTCTGCCTTGGTGTTGTGTTTGTCCTGGGCCCTGTATCTGTCCTGCATCCTGTTTCTGTTCCCTTGCTACCTGTTCTGATCCCTGGCTTGTGACCCTGACCATCCCTCTGCCTGACCCTCTGTACTACGCTGCTTGCTACCTGTTGATCCCTGGCTTGTGACCCTGACCATCCCTCTGCCTGACCCTCTGTACTACGCTGCTTGCTACCTGCTGAACCTGGCCTGTGACCCCGACCATTCTCCGCTTGCTCCCCCTGTACCTACCTGCCCAATTGAATTGACTCGGCCTGCCTGACGACGCTTGCTTGTATGTACTGTTATCTGTGGGTGTGTTGGTTGGGTTTGTTTGCACTGTATTATGTTTTAGTATTGCACTGCGTTTATGTTTGTATTGTTAGTGTTAATAAATTACATTGTTAATCACATATCTGAAGTCTGCGTTTCCCTGCTTCAGTCACACACCTCTGGTCATACTGGGAGCCCTGACAGTGAACCCCTTGGGATTACGTGGAGTTTTGCATGAATTGGGCATAAAATGTGCTCTGAACGTCAACTAAGTCACAACAATAGAAGAACACAGTCTGCTGAACATAATACTACACAAACATTAGATGTTGCCATGGTTTAATTGCACATAACATGTAAACATTCACAGTGCAGGGAGGAAAAAGTATGTGAGGCCCTAGCTTAATGACTTTTCCCAGAGCTAATTGGAGCCAGGAGTTTAGCCAACCTTGACTCCAATCAGTGTGATGATATTGGATGTGTTGCTGACAGCTGTCCTGCCCTTAAAAAACACACACCTGTTTTGGGTTTACTGGTTTTCAAGAAGCACTGTGTGATATGAACCATGCCTCGCAGAAAAGAGTTCTCAGAAGACCTACGATCAAGAATTGTTGACTTGCATGAAGCTGGAAAGGGTTACAAAAGTATCTCCAAAAGCCTTGATGTTCATGTGTCCACGGTAAGACAGACTGTCTACAAATGGAGAAAGTTTAGCACTGTTGCTACTCTCCCTAGGCATGGTCGTCCTGTAAAAATGACTGCAAGAGCACAGCGCAGAATGCTGCATGAGGTAAAGAAGAATCCCAGAGTGTCAGCTAAAGGCCTACAGAAATCTCTGGCACATGCTAACATTTTTGTTGACACATCTACAATAAGGAAAACATTAAACAAGAATGGAGTACATGGGAGGACACCACGGAGGAAGCCATTGCTGTCCAAAAAGAATATTGCAGCACGTTTGAAGTTTGAAAAAGAGCACCTGGATGTTCCACAGCACTACTGGCAAAATATATTGTGGACAGATGAAACCAAGATTGAGTTGTTTGGGAAGAACACACAACACTGTGTGGAGAGAAAAAAAAGGCACAGCACACCAACATCAAAACCTCATCCCCACTGTAAACCTGGCGGAGGGAGCATCATGGTTTGGGGCTGCTTTGCTGCCTCAGAGCCTGGACGGATTGTTGTCATTGATGGGAAAATGAATTCCAGAGTTTATCAAGACATTTTGCAGGAAAACGTACGACCATCTGTCCGCCAACTGAAGCTCCGCAGAGGATGGGTGATGCAACAGGACAATGACCCAAAGCATACAAGTAATTCAACAAAACAATGGCTGCAACAGCACAGAATACGCCTTCTGGAGTGGCCCAGTCAGAGTCCTGACCTCAACCCGATTGAAATGCTGTGGCATGACCTTAAGAGAGCGATTCACAGCAGACATCCCAAGAATATTGCTACACTGAAACAGTTTTGTGAAGAGGAGTGGTCCAAAATTACTCCAGATCATTGTGCCGGTCTGATCTGCAACTACAGGAAACGTTTGGTTGAGGTTATTGCTGCCAAAGGAGGGTCAACCAGTTATTAAGTCCAAAGGTTCACATACTTTTTCCTCCCTGCACTGTGAATGTTTACATTTTATGTGCAATTAAACCATGGCAACATCTAATGTTTGTGTAGTATTATGTTCAGCAGACTGTGTTCTTCTATTGTTGTGACTTAAATGACGTTCAGAGCACATTTTATGCCCAATTCATGCAAAACTCCACGTAATCCCAAGGGGTTTCACATACTTTTTCTTGCAACTGTAAGTACCTGAAATAAATAAGTAGATTCATGACCTAGTTGGTATATACGCTTATGCGACTCCTCCGTTATGTTCCCTTTCCACTTTTCTTGCCTTCTTTTCTGTATTATCATTTCTAACTTATCCAGTTAGACACCTATCTCTTAAGAGTTTGTTTACACCAGGTGCTGTGCAGGACCATGTACAAAAATTGCACATTCCCCAGCACTGCATGAAAACACTCTGTCTTCTGCATTAATTCTTACTGGCACCCCCCCACACACATCTGGCAAATGTGGGTGCCTTCACTCCCTCCAGAACACATGGTACTGCAGTACCATGCAGTTTGATGTGGCGCAATTTTAACAATTGCACCTGTACTATTTTTTTATTTTCGTGTCATGCATGTAGTGTGGCCCACTAATTTCATTGGCACAACGGCATAGGAATGCCCAAAAAAGTTGCATGCTCAGACACAGCTTATGGTGTGAAAAAAACCCTAAGGACTAGTTCACACTAGATGCAGTCCAGAGCGTTTTTTTTCTGCATCATAAATGCATGCACAGTGTTTTCCATGTATTCCAATGGCCCTAGTTCACACCAGTGCAGTCAGTTCCAGTCATTTTTCAGTGCAGAAAAAAGTAGAACATGCTGCATTTTTTTTCTGCACAGAACCATACTGTAACATAGCAAACTGCATCAAAACTGCACCGGAACAGAGTGTGGTGTGAACTGTAAGCAGAAACATATCCGGAATGCATCTGGAGTGCATTTGTGTGGTGTGAACTGGCCTGAAGAACCGGTTTGCACTGGGTGTGACATGGCATGCGATTAGCATGCCATGTGATTTGCAAATCGCATGCCAAGTTACACCCTATTGTCCGCAATTGCAGCGGTCATATTGGTGCGATTCCGACTTGGTTTGAGCAGTACCGATTTCTAAAATAGTGCATGCACTACTTTTGCTGTGATTTGCATAGACATCTGTGACAGATGTCTTGCAAATCGCACCTGAAATCGGCATGTCCCCCTACTTTGACAGTGTAGTCGCACGATTTCAAGGTCTGGCTTGATGTGATCGCTACTAGGTATAGATTTCACTTTCATTCTGTCAAGGAAACGTACTGAGAAAATAATGCAGGCTGCTATTGTTAGTGTATTCTGAAATTGCTGGATAACTGTATTCATACATAGATACAATGCAACAATTCTAGAGAACACTTGAGTAAAAGATCAAATAAATGGTTACATTTATTTGCTAATTCCCTCTAGCATTCTCTAGAATTGTTACACTGTATCTTTTGTTACAAAGACTTACAGTATAAATTTCAGTGCTCCTCAGCGCCATCTAATGGCTGTAAAGATAGGCTCACACTACTGCGATCCGATTTTGATCTGATTATGTAGTATGACTTGGTTGTAACTCGGTTGCATTTTCGATATGCTTTGAATATTCTGTGGGGTCAAGGTCGCACTGGAATTGCACCAAAGTAGTAGAGGACCCTTTTCCAAAATTGTGCTTTGCTGATTTGCATTGAGGTGAATGGGCACCATTGAAAACAATGTGATTTCCATTGTCATGTGATTCTGTATGACTGAAATCGCATCAGAAATTGCACCAGTGGGAACCAGGCCTAATCATTATTTTGCTACTACCCATAAAAGAGAAACCGTTGTCCAGGAAGGAAAATAGCCTAAAGAACATTTATTTTTTACCAGTTTACACCAAATGAATACTATATACAGTATATGCGTTTCGTCACTTCCGAAAAAGTCGGAAGTGACGAAAAAGTCAGGGACGTGACGTCAGAACGTCAAACCGGAAGGAGCAGCGCGGCGATATTGGATACTGGAGTTCAGTCATACGAACTGTGGGAGAGGATGGACGTTTCTTTGTACCCAATGCAAGCTTTAATAATAAAATTACGGATTTACTTTTATATACTCCACTGAGCATTGTC